TGATTCTAGAGTGAGATGGTTAGGTCGATCTGTATCATAAGACAGACTTCTGTTTGGTATCAGATTTCCACCGAAGAGCTATGTGGTTTGAACTAGTGTGACTTAACACCTCAAAATCACAAACATTTTATCTGTAATACAATTATAATACCAATTTAAAGGGTTATTTTGATAAATTACATGTGTGTGTGTGTGTGTATATATATATGCAAATGTGGGGCTTCCCGGCTGGATCAGTGGTAAAGAACCCATCTGACGGTGCAGGAGAGGTAAGAGACTCGGGTTTGATCCCTGGCTTGGGAAGATCCCTTGGAGGAGGGGATGGCAACCCACTCCAGTATTCTTGGATGGAGAATCCCAAGGTCAGAGGAGCCTGCGGACTACAGTACAGGGGGTTGCAAAGAGTTGGACACAGCTGAGCAACTGAGCATGCATTCATGCACAAATGCATATGTAATAAGTGATTAACGAGTGTGAAGTTCTCTTAGACTATTTGTATTAATGTATACAGTTTCACATATAGTTATTATGTTTCAAAATTTTTTGTATTATCCCCCTACAAGAATAAAGGTTCTTCCTATTTTAATGAGAGTTGGTATTATTTTATTTATTTTTTAAAGAGAGAAAGTTAACTAACATGTAGAAAGATAACCCGGAGACAGAAAATTGCACATAGAATTTTAAACACCACCTAAACGTTCTATTTATTCCTTTCTTTACCTCATCCCAATCCACACTAGCATAATAAACTATGCTTATTAAACTAAGTAACTAAACTCCAAGTAGGTAAGAATTCAATATAGAAAAAGACTGGGAGTTTATAATCCAAGGATGAAGATTTATCAAAAAGTTTAATGAAGTCACTTCTCCTTCCTTCTACTCCTCCCTCACCCTTATCTCTTAGTTATTTTTTAGTGGCTGAAAACTGTAGAAACTCACAACTATAAGACTTCATTACTTTTAGAGAATACACCAGGGTACGTTTACTATAAATAATTCACACCATACTACACTTGTCAAAAGGAATGAATAAAGTATATATCATGGTACAGGAGCCTGGATTTTTGTTGGTTTTGCTCACTCACTCACTAATTTTCCAGCTGCAGCTCCCTGTCTCTGTGAATTAGAACAGTTCTGCCATATACAAATATTGTACTCTGGGTAATCAGATATTGGGAGAGGAGCCTCTGCAAATTACTTTAACTGGTGTCAGTACTGAAGCAAATAAGAAGTTTTTAGCTCTGTTTCTGGTTTGGGTTATTTTCTGACCCTAAACAGCCTGACATAAAGGAGTGCTTTTCTTTGTCAAAGGCAGCCTTTTAAAATCTAACTGCCAGACACACTATTGAGCTATGTGTTCAATTCTAATTGGTTGAGATCTTTTCAATTTGGCAGTTTCATCTTTAATGCAATGGATGTAAGATTATGTGTGGCTCTTTTCAATGAGTTTTCCATACTGGTGATTAGGGCAGCGGATTTGGACATAAGCAGGCTGCTGGCTATTTCTTCTGGCCAATTTAAATTGATTCATACAAGTCCTTTGTATCCCAGGGGAAGGGCAGAACAAATCCCAGTAAGCCAGATATGGCTACTCTCAGAAGAGTAAAAAAGAAGAGGGAGGACAGACTGGGGAGAGGAAACACTAAGTATTGTAAAATTGGAGCTCTGAGCAGTCTGGCAGAGAAATATTGAAACTTCACCAGTAGGCTCTGTATAGAACCAAGGTCACTGGGAAAATTATTTCCAAGATTGATTTTGATATATTTAGGTTAAAAGGACTAGGTAAATAGAAAATATTCTTCATACTTGATCCCACAGGGAGCCATAGTGAGCAAACTCTTTTCTAAAAGTATTCTAAAAGACAGTAGATAATTATTTCAGAACTCCAAAGCAGCTGTAAATGTGTGATAACAGAATAGCAGAGAGGGTCAGCTAACAATTTTGTTTGGGACAGATGAAAAATTGGCCTTAGAATCACTCAGAGATGAGTGCTGTTGAGAAAGTCTCCTAGTTTTCTGTTTCGAAGGTACACTAGGAGGAGCTATTCAAACAGGGCACATCCAAAAGTAATCCTTTTCAAACACATAGTCTCTGGTTATAAAGCTCTCTTCTGGGTTTTCTCTTTTAAGGACTGGATAGGGTGCAGGCAAACCATGGTGGGGTCACTTCTATTATACATCATCTCTATTTCATGAAGAAAGAACTCCAAGTGAAGTTTTAGTGCTTTTTCAACTCCATTTCAGAAAATCCAGATCAATTAATTTGGTGACTCCCTCTCTGAAGGAGAATGTAAACTATTTATCCAAAGAAAACAGGGACAGTACACTGCTGACAATATTTTAACAAGGACATTCCAATCCTCCCTGAACACATGAAAACAAAGAAATGTTTCTCTAGCAAGAGAAAATAGCAACAGTTTTATTTTGTTGGTTTGACTTGCTTTGCCCTAGAACATATGCAAAACATCCATCTGTCTCCTGGTTAGTAACATTCAATTTGTTAAAATTCATAGTAATAATGAAATGCAACACTGATGCCTGCCACATTAGTTGAACAAATAAGGGTGACAAGTATGGCATATGTTGCAGAGACCAGTGGGTAAGTCCTCTAAGCTAAAGGATTTTTGTTGTTGTCTTTTGGTAGGAAATCTTAGGAGCTTCCACAATGATTCAAGGTTTTATAAAGTATAGAACTCCATAGAAAATAAAAGTAAAGCCAGTTTTCAACCATCATTCTTAATCAACTAAAAATAAACAAAGCCAAACCCTGTGAAGAGCTGGCTGCAGCAGCTATTTCTGAGCTGTCTTCTGGAAGACTAATGCTTTGTAAAGTCTTTCTCTGAAACTCAGATTTCTTGAGAGATATTATCTGAGAGTCACTGGAATTAATGCAACATAACTAGAACTTAGTAAGGCCTCCTGAGGTTTCAGAACAAGTAAAATTTTCCAACTGACACATAAATACAAAACTACCTGGACTTCCCTTTATACAAATGAGAAGGCAGTTATACCTGACAGAAATGTACACAAATATTCATCAGAAGATATGTATGTTATATGTACATGTATAACAGCTGTGTTCCTAATAGTTCTCAATTATCCAGATACTCTGAAACAGCAGAATGAATAAATTGTAATATATTTAAAAATAATACCATACAATAAGAATGAATGATCTGGAGCTACATGCAACAATATGGATGAATCTTGCAACTCATTGGGCTAAACAGGTCAGACATTAAGACATATACATCACAGCATTTCATTTATATTAAGTACATGTGTGCATGTTCAGTAGCTTCAGTTGTGTCCGACTCTTGCGACCCTATGAACTGTAGCCTGCCAGCTCCTCTCTCCATGAGATTTTCCAGGCAAGAATACTGGAGTGGGTTGCCATGCCAGGGGATCTCCAGGCAATCTTCCTAAACCCGGGATTGAACCCGCATCCATATTAAGTACAGAAAGAGGTAAAGCTAATCTATGTCTGAAGAAGGCAGTGATACCATTTTTGGTGAGTGAGCTGAAGACAATGTAAGTGGGGCTTCTTGGTGTGGATCATGTTCAGTTTCTTCATCTGAATGCTTAGTGAGTTCAGTTAGTGAAAATTCTTTGAGCTATAATGTACAGACAGACATATGTTTGTGTGTGTATCTGTATTTATACAATACTCAAATAAAAAGTAAAAATTAACAGGCCTATATCTTAACTCATGCCTTGTTATTACATGTCTTTTCACTTTTCTTTTTTGTAAAGTAACTTGTATATCATTTCCTCACTAGCAGTCTTCAGGCCTATATGCTTTTCTTTCTCCTTGTCTATGTGCTTACGATAGCTCTCTATTTCTATCCATCAAACCTCATCTCTCCTTTCATCAATGGACTTTCATGTCCTACTTCAGATGGAAAATCTTTTAGATCACCTTGACAGCCTAAGAAATCTTCCAGTTTAGTAACTGTTCTTGTAAGCATGGTGTTCTAATACTTAGAAACATAAGAATACTTCTTTACATACTTTGAACATCCTAATAAGGAAATACAAACATCAAAATCTGATATATTTTACAGTATTTAGTTGTATCTCTCTGATTTCAATACTGTTCCATCTCACCTGAAGATTTAAACTCTGAGTTTACATGGTTTATACAGAGCTCGCTTAAGAAGTATAATATATCATAATAAAAATGACAAAATGATATTTTACCTTCTGATTGTCTCTAGTTTCCTTTCCCTTAAAAGGAAAATTTATTACTTTTCATTTTCATTCTTTATTTATGGACTACTACTATAACCACTACTATCATTGCCAAAATGCCAAGTATTAGGTATTTATTTTGTGCCAGTCACAGTTATAAGCAATTTGCACATATTATCTCATTTAATCTTTACAATCTTATGAAGTTGCTACTGTCTTCATTTATCAGATGAAAAAACTAAAGTTCAGCAAGAATAAATAACTTGCCCAAGATTAGCATTATAGTTTGATTCAAACCCCATGTTCTTCCAACCCAAGCTTTCACCACTTTGAGCTCAAATAAGTTTATACTTAAGCACTAAACATTGGCTCCCTTACTTTTTCTAATACAGGCATTATTTGCAGGGTTAGACATGACAAATACTCGTTCATTCTTTTTTTGCATTAATTTAATAATTCAAATCCCCATCCAAATTCTTCCATATAAGAGGTAAAGACTAACTCTACATCTCCTTTAACAAAGTGATTAACGTTGCCTATCACAATTTTGTTTCTCCAGGAACTAGAAATGTGACAGCTCCCTTCTCTCTTCAAAATGCCAATGCCAAAAGTGACTTCAACTCACCTGCAGCCCTGGAGTTGCCTTCCCTACTGTACTCTTTGATCCACATTCCCAGTGATTCAAATACAATCTCCAAAGGAAATGGGAGTATACAAGTCATGGAAGCAAAAGAACTATTGATGTAGTGATATCAACAGTACTCACAGTTCAATGTTATCACTACAGCAATGCAATGGTGAAAAATATACCTTTTTCATAAGCCCACATCAAACATGTCTGCTCATCTTTTTCACCACTAGACCTGCTTGGATCACAAGCTACCAAATTCATATCAGCTCCATTATCCAGTAAGAACTGAACCAGGCGAATGTGACCATGGTAGCAAGCAGAGTGCAACCCTATAATAGAATAAGAATGAAAATATGAAAGGAGAAAAGGGGAAAACTGAACCCCAATTTTCAAAAGATAGTTATTACCACAAAATAGCATTGTTGCCAGAGATATATAACAAAAGCTGAGTTCTCTGAGAGATAATTAATTCTATCTTTGAGAAAACAAGACACTTTAAAGAAAAGAAGTATATACTTGATATACATAGAGACTACCTTTGGCTTAAGCACACTTTTTAGTATTTTTACATCCACTGTAACTACCAGAACAAACATTAGCATCTTTGTATAAATCAAAGAGTATAGACCTAAACAAAAAAAATTTTTTTCAGCAGCAAAACAAGGGTAAGACAGTGTGATCAGTGTGCTCCTGATGCAGGTCATAATGGATGCATTGACTGTAAATACTTTTGCACAAAAATGAAGCTGACCAAAGGTCAGTCTGCTTTCTATTATCACCATGCACTATCAATTTAAAAAATGTCATTGATAAAATATTCCTAGTCATTGGGGTTGGCCACTGCCACTGCTCCCCCCACTCTTGACCATACTACTTCTCTTGAGTACTGATATGATCAGAAACTGTTGTTCTCAGCACAGTCTTACCTGTGTGCCCGTCCCTTCCTTGGTGGTTGATGCTTATGACATTCTGATCAAGAAGAAATTTAACCAGGTCAATGCTCTTGCCATAAGTACAAGCACTGCAAAAATACAACAGAGGGGAAATAGAAGGCCTCTGTTATGGGCTGAACGTGTGTCCTCCAAATTTAACATGTTGAAGCCCTGACTCCCGTAGCCTTACAATATGACTATCATTTAAAGAGGGGTAATTTACAGAGGAAATTAAGTGAAAGTGGATTAATTAGGGTGGGCTGGGCCCGCATCAAATATGATTGGTGTCCTTATAAGAAGGGAAGATTAGGACAGGGACAGGAGGACAGCTCATGAAGATACAGAAAAGAAGGCAACCACTGGCAATCCAGAGAGAAAGATCTCAGGAGAAACTAAACCTGACGCCTTGATCTTGAATTTTCAGACTCCAGAACTATAAGAAGATCAATTTCTGGTGTTCAAGGTATGCAGGGTATGGTATTTAGTTCTGGTAACCCTGGAAAACTAAAGCAGCCCTGATTTACCCAGGCTATTTTAGATGCTGGTGTTTACACAAGAGTGCCAAAAAGCCAGAAAAGAGAGAAGGAGGAAGGGAGAGAAAAGCGGGGGTGATAAGAAAAAAAAGCACATAAAGCAATACAATCCTGAAGATTCTCAAAGATGAGCCTTTAAGAAAGGAGCTGTATAAAATTTCTAGCATTTTCTTATTAATTATTAAATAGTTCTTATGATATGACTTCTTTTTGCAGGGCAATTGAATGGAATGAAGGAACCCAGGGAGGTTCTGAGAAATTTAAATGATACATTACACTTGTGATTACATCTGAAGCAAGAGACAGCCCTGTGAGATCTGATGCTAATTCCAGGTAGGTAGTGTCAAAAATAATTTGAATTGGAGGACACCCGCTCAGTGACTCCAGAGAACTGGAGAACTGTTTGGTGCAGAAAACCCTTATACACAGCTGGTATCTTGTGTTTGGAAGTAAGGTACTATGTATTATGGGACAGTACAGAAAAACAGGGTTTTTTCCTTCCAGGTTTGTTCCAGAAGAGGTCGTTCACTGAGTCTTACTCTTTCCTCTTCCTGGGATGAGTGCCTAAATCCTTTTTCTATTGTAGAATTTTATTATTTTCTTTAAATAAATGCCACTATTTATCTAGTTGAACTGATGTTCCCTCTATGAAGTCTTCTCATGAACCAAAAGCTGAGTTCATTGTTATCTCCTCTGCTTCCTTGTTAGTTCAGTTTTGTGGCACCTTTCATATTGTGTTATGGTAATGGATAACCTGTGTGTGCTTTGATGCCTTACAACAGAGTTTCCTTAAGGAGAGAAGGGATTGTGTCATGTCAATGTTCCTACCAGCAACAACACAATATAGCTCCTTAATAAGTCTTTCTTGAATAGTTGAGTGAATAAAAAGTCCCTATCTCAGTGTAATAGATCCTATCACCATTAGTTATTTGTATTACAAATAGGACTCTTAACACTATACTTTTAATGTTTGTCTGAATTCCCTCATTGTTTCCTTTCAAAGTAACTATTCACAGGAAATGACAAGTTCTGAACGTACATATACATATATATATATATGTATGAGTGTGTATATACAAATGTGTGTACATATAGCATATGAAAACAATAACAGAAATGTATCAAGTGCTATGTGCAAAGCACTGTGATTTGTACATAGAAAAAACCATAGTTGTAGTGAGCTCTTCATGTAAAAGAAGTATTTCTTTTATAAATATGTACTTAAAATGAATAGAATAAAATTTTAATGTTATTCCTAGTAGCCACAGGTTTGCACAAAATTAAACAATTGAATACATACTTTTAACTCACTTCACTAATCTCCTTACATGCAGAGTACATCATGGTGAAATGTTGGGCTGGATGTAGCATAAGCTGGAATCAAGACTGCCAGGAGAAATATCAATAACCTCAGCTATGCAGATGACACCACCCTTAAGGCAGAAGGCAAAGAGCAGCTAAAGAGCCTCTAGATGATAGTGAAAGAGGAGAGAGTAAAAAAGCTGGCTTAAAACTCAATATTCAAAAAATGAAGATCATGGCATCTGGTCCCATCACTTCATGGCAAATAGATGGGGAAACAGTGAAAACAGTGACAGACTTTCTTTTCTTGGGCTCCAAAATCATTGCAGATGGTGACTGTAGCCACGAAATTAAAAGACACTTGCTCCTTGGAAGAAAAGTTATGACCAACCTATACAGCATGTTAAAAAGTAGAGACAATACTCTGTGGACAAAGGTCTGTTTAGTCAAAGCTGTGGTTTTTCCTGTAGTCATGTATGGATGTGAGAGTTGGACTATAAAAAAGCTGAGCGCTGAAGAATTAATGTTTTTGAACTGTGGTGTTGGAGAAGACTCTTGAGAGTCCCTTGGACTGTAAGGCCATTAAACTAGACAATCCTAAAGAAAATCAATCCTGAATATTCATTAGAAGGTCTGATGCTGAAGCTCAAGCTCCAATACTTTGGTCGCCTGATGCGAAAAGCCAACTGATTAGAAAAGACCCTGAGGATGGGAAAGATTGAAGGCAGGAGGAGAAGGGGATGACAGAGGCCTAGATGGTCGGATGGTATCACCGACTCGATGGACATGAGTTTGACTAGGCTTCGGGAGTTGGTGAGGAACAGGGAAGCCTGGTGTGCTGCAGTCCATGGGATCGCAGAGTCGGAGACGACTGATTGACTGAACAACACCAATCTTCTCCTGTGGTCAATCTTCTGAAGGTGATGATAATCCTCAGATTATAACTGGTTTCAGTGTGTGCACAGAGTAGCAGAATGATTTGAAAATGAGACTGAGGTGTCAGCCTCCATAAAACTGACCTATTGGAAGAAGAAGACTTGAGTACCTCACAAATATCAGTTCTCCCGATTGCCCCCTTTAGGGGCAAAGTCCATGATCCACTTTGACTGAAGGCATGATCTAAAGAATTCGTGCATCTGTTCTGTGACAGAATGTGTAGAAAACAGGCAAAATATTTTAGTACTAGAACATGAAGATACATAAAAACACAGGATTTGGAATTAGTCAAGCATTTAATACATAATTTTCTAGCCATAAGAATCTTTGGCAAGTTAGTTTTCTTGAGCTTCAATTTTCTCACTGGTAAAAAAGGGATAGTAAATCCAACTTCATAAAATGGTGATGAGGATTAAATGAAATAATGGATGCAAATCATCCAGCACATATTCACTGTTCCATAAACAGAAGTTGTCTTCACCTCCCCTTTGGCTGACCTCTTTGGCTGGTAAGACAAATCTGGAAATCTAAGTGAAATTTGACATGCTGATGCCTGATGCAGAAGTATAAGCTTAATTTTAGTTTAGTATTAATCAGTAGTTAGTCTCTCATTTCTATTATTCACCAGTAAGGTACAGACACTGTATAAATAACACATTAGTCTCAAATACATGTTTTAGATGTTACAAACCAGCCGAGAGATCTGCAATATGTAGGTGAATGTATCTTATATTCAAGGTTTACTCAATTTGAATGACTATGCTTTTATTTAATATGCAAACCAGTAGCCTGTTAATGAGGGTTTTAAATTATATGAATATCTGCCTTCCTTTGGGACATTTTAGGGACTTATGTCTCTGAGTTTTTATCAGCCCTTTTCTTCCCTCTCTCCTTCTCTTTTCTTTCTTAGTCACAACTTTTCCAAACCTAGATGTTCCTTCAGTGTGCTATTCCAGAGCTCACTCTAAAGGACTCTGATGGATTCCTAGCAAGGAGTTAATGCCTCCTTATGTATCTCGGTGGCCATCCTGACTAAGCTCTTACAGGCTGACAGATGGATGTCTTAGATAGGTAGATACATTTGCACATAAGCTTTAAGTGGTAAGGAAAAAAAATGCCACTTTTGATGCTGATGAATTCTGGTAATGAGATTCTTGTCGGCGGAGGATTACGGGCACTGCTCCTTTTGGCAGCTTTCTGCAGAGTGAAATGGAATAGAAGCAATATGCTTACAGATGTTGACATGCCTGTTGCCTTGGCAACGTCAGCCCCCGTCTTTGTGGCTGCTGCCAGCAAGGCAGCATCTGGCTCCGGGCCCATCTGTTGTACTGACTGCAGCATCTGCCTCTACCTTTTCTTCCGTGCATCTAGCTTGGACTTCTATCCTCTGTCCACCCTCTGCTCTTGCTCTCGGATTGTAACATCTGCCACTATTCATTCTTGCTTTACGTACATGACTTCTGGCATCGAAGAGTGTTCTCTTAGTGGCAATTGTGCTTAAATATTCCTTTACCTGTGAAAAGCTGTTTCACTGAAGATGTTTTCTTTAGTCAGACTTTCTATTCCTGATATTTGAATGATTTCCTTGGCAACTTCAAATTTGCCATTGTAGCATGCCCTAGAGTTAAAGAAAATATTTTGAGAATATTGGAAGGTACACACAGTATACTTGAAGTACCTATGGAACAATACATAATACTCACAGGTGCAAAGGGGTGTCTCCATAGATGTTGACAACATGTGGCTGAACTTCTAAATCGCTCTGGAGCAGGTACTTCACTATATCATGATGTCCAAAGCGAGAACAGAAATGGAGTGGAACGTGATCTTCATTGTCCTGAGCATTTACTGTCATCAAAAGAAAGGAAAGATATGTTTTAGAGAATTCTCTATTTCTCAGCCTTCTTATGTGTAGTATCAGGGACTTTTCTAAGTACCTGAGAGACTCCTGGAAATTGCCAGTTAATGACAACAATAAAGAAAATTAAGTGCAACCAATTAAAAAAGTTATAATTCTCTTCTATAGCCTGTTACCACATTATGCGGGCTTTCTTCTAGCTCCCATAAATCTATGGAACACATCTAATCAAATCTACCTTGCACAATGAAAGAGTTCAGGAAACTAATAAGTATCTAAAAGGTACTCATGGCCTTATTTCCACAAATATCACCATTCAAACTGATTATATACTTCCACCCCCCATGGAAGATGTTAAAAAGTTCAGACTTTGTACAAAGCATCATTTTCCAAATTTTGGCCCAATATATTATCATGAGGCCTAGTATGCTGTATGTTTATAGTGCTATTTAGGAGGTTCTGATGTTCCCTCAACTAAAAATGTTATACAAAGCATGGTATAATGAAAAGGCAACAAATGATTCAGACCTCATTAATTGTGTTACCCAAGACAACTGTTTAACATTAACTGCAGTTTTAAATTGTCCAATCGGTAGTGATCATTTGACTTTTTCTTTGTTCAATCCAGCCTTATAACCTCTTCTGACATTTGGGGAATTCCCTATGTTGAAAATACTAACTAGATGCCAAAATCACATTTTATCATTGAAGCTGGAAAAATGCTTTCCAAGTCTCCCTTGCAGTTAGTGCACAGGATTAGCACAGGGTGACCATATGTCCCAGTTTAGTGTTCTTACACTAGCATAATTTTTAATAGCAATGCTTTCACTCTCGACCATGCCCTGGTTGGACGCTTATCTCCAGGCTCTTCTATTCAACACGTTACTTCAGACTCTTACATCAGAGCTGATGACATACAAAAGCAGTCTCTTCTGTTTTGGGAAAGTAGCAGTGGTGGAATAGTTCCATCTAATTCCCAGTAGTAGTGCTTCCAGCCATAGACTGGGAGCCCTGCATTGTTGGTGCCAGAAACACAAGTGCTGGTGTGTATGTTAGCAGAGGTGGCAGTGTGCCTTCAAAGGATTAATTTTGGGGGTGTGATTCTGGACACCATTTCTCACTGTGAGAGTGCCAAACCCAGCTTTCTACTCTGTTCTGGGGGAGATTGTATGATAATTGATATCATTTAATATATTTCCTTCATGCTTAAATTAGCAAGCATTAGTTTCCAAATCTGGCAAATAAGAACACCTGATTGACACAGTCATTCCTCAACAAGTAATAAATGATCAATATGCGCCAGGCACCGTGCTAGGTGTTGTGGATATTGATTTCTTATCAGTTGATGGAATACCATTGTTGGGGAGCAGAGATTCTGAAAGGATTAAAGGAGATAATTTCTGGAAAGTATCTAGCATGATGGCTGTCACATATTAGACATCTAATAAAAATGTCTACTTTCCCTTTTTACTAATTTCCCTCTCAGAAATTTACCAAATGCTAAGGCCAATAAGCTATAAATGCAGAGTCTATGCCCTCAAATAATTTACAATCTAGTTGAATAGTCAATAACTACAGGCCTGAAGTAACACAAGTCAACACCAAGCTGCTAAATTTTGGATTTGCTTTAGCACAATTTTTAAAATGAAACATAATCAGATCAACAGCTCTACAGCCCCTTTTTGTTATTTTATTACTCTGTCCATCTGTATACAGGGCTTTATTCAAAATAGAAAAAAATAGCCCTTAACATTCATTTTCATTGTTATGTGTAATAGAAATCATCCACTGAACCAAAAGAGTTGATGGAAAGATTTCCTTTTAGTAATAAGCAATAAGAAGGAAAAGAAAGGCAAGATACTAGTTTTTTTTTTTAAAGTTCAAATATAATAATCATTTAACATGTAATAAGCACTGATTTAGGCCTTATAGCTGCTATATTTGTAGACAATGATTCTTATTTTATTGTTCTGTAAGTACTTAAGCCAAAAAGAAATCTTTAACAAAGTTACTGAACTCCTCTCAGGGCTGTTATTGAAAAATGAATCTTTGAATCTTTTATATTAATGAGTAGCTCAGAAGGACACTCTTCCTTCAGAAGAATGTTCCTGGTTGTTTTGATTATCTTCCTTTTTAAGATTCTTTTCCTTTGTTCATATTCTGTTGGAAGTCAGGGAAAGTCAATACCATGAGTCAATGTTTGAGAACAGTAGGGAGCCCAGGGAATCAGGAGGTCACATGAGGATTCTTGAGGTCCAGAGGGGACATTGTAAAACAGAATAAAGCACAGTATTCCATTAATTCATGATTTTCCTTTGGCCATCTCTGGCCCCACCCAACACTGTTCTTCTCTAGTTGAATCAGTAAACTTCAAAGCAGATTATTTCCTTGATAAATTATTGGCAGTAGCCTGGATATTATTCCCATCAAAGAAGATATTAATACCAGCCAAAGGGATAAGCCGGGAGAAATCTGGATCAGATGCAGAGTTTATATATTATATATAACTCCATTTCTGCTTCAGCCATTCTGATACCTTAATTTTGTCATAGACCAATTTGCAAAGATTAAAAAAACACATACTATTATTAGTATTATCTGGGGAAAACTGACTGTATGAATGACAGTCTATTTGCTCTAACTTAATACATAATTTAGAGATCTAATTAAAGGAAAACTTTAAACAAAGGAATACATGTAAATCATCATTAGAAAAATATGTGGTCACTATTGAAGAGCGTATGTGTTCAATACTGTATTTTGCAAGAGAGAGTAGATGAATATATAGGTAGATGGATGCTACTTCCTGTTTATTTCTGCTCATGGATCTTAAAGATAGAATAAATGCTTCCATTAGCACATCCCAATAACTCAACTTCCAAATGTATCTTAAATAAATTTTCAGTAACAAATCTGTGTGATAACTCTGACAAGATATATTTTTTAAAATAAATTACTTCTTTTTACTGACATGTCCTAGAAACTTTTGTGACTTTTTCTGATATCCAAGTCCATGTTAACAAAATTTTATCTTCATCAGATTATAGAAATTAATAGTTTCTGAACTTAAAATTTTCCATTTTTAACTCTGCAACTCTATTTTTACAAATACAGAAAGAATTTAAATTTGTATCTATATTTTTACAGATACAAAAAGAACTGTATCTCTATTTTCTTCTTATGGAGTCCAGCAATATTTGACCTTTTCAATCTCATTCAACAAGCATTGTATTTCTCCTTAAAGACGACTAGGGACTTAAAACATATGTGACTGAATAGGTCAGTCTCCCAAACATGTTGAGCATGCTTTCAGAATTACATTCTGGTTAATTTTATAACCTTAATTTATTTTCATTTGTGATGTTCTGTTACCATGGAAACATAATATAAATACCAGATTTCAAATTGTGCTCCTTTTGGGGTTATTCATTTACTCCTCCCCTTATGTCCATTAACCACAGGCAAGGTTCAGATCTAAAATAAATCATCTGAAGGCTTAGATATATCTTAGAGTAAATGAACTAGCTGATAATAAATCTTGTGCAGCATCCACTAGCACTAAAGATTTTCCGGTTTATTCTTTGCGATTGGTTTAAGTGCAAAAGGGACTTAAATATCACGTGTATATTAGAAGGAAATACAATGCTTAAAAATCTGAGTCATGTCTCTTGATTTTTTTTTTAAATGATTGAGTAGGAGGCATTAGAGTGCTTCTGTGAGTCTGAAAGAAAATGCTAAAAATGATATTATATGATGCTGGTATGTACGGGGAATATGGGTGCAGCACACATTTCATTGCCTTTTGTAGAAGAGTCCTTTGATCCTGGAGACATGCTGATCATAAATGACACTCATTTTGACACCACTGAGCTTTGGAGTTGTTCAGAGGAATAAAAGGCTGAGGCTGGCATTGATAATATAAGGAAGAATGTGAGCAGTTCCTGACCCCTTGGAAAAGTGAGGCAGTTTCAGAAACAATTATGTGCTCAGTGATTCACACCGGTGTACCTCTGACTGTTCTAAAACAACAGAATCAAAGAGACTGCTTAAATAAGGTCCAAGGAACAGCGCTCCTTGCATCCTGACAACACAGGTTGTTTATGATAATGCTATAGAAAAATTCCTGAGTTACTGCACACTGGCTCAGAAAATGATAGAAACTATGTTTCTCAAACATTGCCAAATAAAATGGTCCTATTTCCAACATGGAAGTGAAATTGCCCTAGCCTCTTGCCACACTTCTCCCTGGGAGCCTTTGTGTTTTCCTTATAAGTAGACGGAAACATCGATTAGTTTTATTAACCGAATATCAATCTCAACCTTGGACCAAGGAAATGGCAGTTCTAGAGCTTTGACAACCTTGTGCTTTTGGAAATGTGCATCATTTCTGCTGCAAAGGCCAGCAGTTCTTACAGCTGGGCTTTTAATTAGGTCTCTTGAGGGTCAGTGGAAGAAGGCTGGATATGCCTGAGAGAATTTAACAACAAGATGTAACTCTGAGTGAATCTGTGTCAAGAAATAAAGTTTGGGAGCAAGATTAAAGAAAAGAAAGAAAGAACTTTTGTTCAAAACTTTCAATTTTCCAAAACTCATTTTACAATTAAAAAACTAAAAAAGTTGCAGGAAATTTTATTCTATTAAAAGCATCTAAAATATTTCTGTGTAATTTAAAGCTTTTTTCCCAAACTGATCACACTCTAACTCTATTTCCATTTAAAATAATAGTAGTCTCAAATACTGAGGTGGATGTGGGGAGTAACATGAAATGCTCAGATATAGCGCTGGGAATGAAAAATAGTGTAAATATTTTGGAAAGCTGTCTGAAGTTTCTCCCAAAGTTAACATGTATATGCCCTTTGATTCAGCAATTCTCTTGCTCTCTCTCTCCCCATATATATTACATATATATATATATATATGTATACATGTGTGTGTGTATATATATATATTACAAATACATATATCTTCATTTTCTAAAACAAAGAAAAAATTTAACCTATGGCAATAATAGAAACCAGAATATTGATTACCTTTGGTGGTGAAAGCTATTTACTAAGAAGTGGGCACAAAGGAACTTTCCAGGTGAAATATTTGCAACCTTCCAGATAAAAATGCTATATCTTGATCTTGGTGACTTTTGTGTGGGTGTATTCAAAAGGAAATATTCACTTAATACTCAGTTAAGATTTGAGAATTTTGCTACATGTAAGTTTTACCTCAATTAAAAAAAGATTAATGAGTAACAACAAGTGGGAAAAATTTAGGAAAACCCCTTACTTTTATGGTCGTACCTAATGTGTATTGTCACCCTGCTTATTTAACTTACATGCAGAGTACAACATGAGAAACGCTGGACTAGAAGAAACACAAACTGGAATCAAGATTGCTGGAAGAAATATCAATAACCTCAGATATGCAGATTACACCACCCTTATGGCAGAAAATGAAGAGGAACTAAAGAGCCTCTTGATGAAAGTGAAAGAGGAGAGTGAAAAAGTTGGCTTAAAGCTCAACATTCAGAAAACTAAGATCATGGCATCCGGTCCCATCACTTCATGGGAAATAGATGGGGAAACAGTGGAAACAGTGGCTGACTTTATTTTTTGGGGCTCCAAAATCACTGCAGGTGGTGATTGCAGCCATGAAATTAAAAGACGCTTACTCCTTGGAAGGAAAGTTATGACCAACCTAGATAGCATATTAAAAAGCAGAGACATTACTTTGCCAACAAAGGTCCATCTAGTCAAGGCTATGGTTTTTCCAGTGGTCATGTATGATGTGAGAGCTGGACTGTGAAGAAAGCTGAGTGCCGAAAAATTGATGCTTTTGAACTGTGGTGTTGGAGAAGACTCTTGAGCGTCCCTTGGACTGCAAGGAGATCCAACCAGTCCATCCTAAAGGAGATCAGTCCTGGGTGTTCATTGGAAGGACTGATGTTGAAGCTGAAACTCCAATACTTTGGCCACCTCATGCAAAGCGTTGACTCATTGGAAAAGACCCTAATGCTGGGAGGGATTGGGGGCAGGAGGAGAAGGGGACGACAGAGGATGAGATGGCTGGATGGGATCACCAACTCGATGGATATGAGTTTGAGTAATCTCTGGGAGTTGGTGATGGACAGGGAAGTCTGGCCTGCTGCAATTCATGGGGTCGCAAAGAGTCGGACACGACTGAGTGACTGAACTGAACTGAACTGAATATATTAAGCTGAAATAAAATATGCAAAGAAGGATTAACATATCAGTTTAATTAATATATTAAAAATAATAAATTATGATTTGAAGAACAAATTAGTACATGAAAAGTAGAATTAATCAACTTCAAGATTATTCCCTAGTAAATAGGTAAAGTAGAAGAAAAAGCATACATAAAGTAAGACTGCAAAATTCTTCCTCTAACCATAATCTTACCATCTGCTTTGCTGCCTTCTTCCACCAAGAGTTTCACAATATTAAAGAATCCTTTTGCAGATGCTAGGTGGAGGGGCCTATCTCCAACTTCACCACTTACATTTACATCAGCACCAAATTTCAAAAGGAGGCGAGTTACCTAAAGGATCCAAGCATTTGAGATTAGTGTCAAATGTCAAATAAGGAAATGGCAACCCACTCCAGTATTCTTGCCTGGAAAATCCCATGGATTGAGGATCCTAGTAGGCTACAATCCATGGGGTCGCAGAGTCGGATAGAACTGAGCCACTTCACTTTCACTTTCAGCAGTATGGAAGGAGACATATCATTAAGATGTTCTTTTGGTTAATTTTTGTCTGAAAAAATCCTAATTCAATTGGCCTAAACAATAAGGTATTTATTATTATATCACCTAGCAAGAAATTAAAAAAAGGAGCAATTTCAGAGTTGGGTCTTCATTGTACATAAACAGTCTTCTTTAAAGTCACCTGTAATCATCTCTGAACAAGTCCTTTAAAATCTTCTTCTGGCCAGAGTCAGCAGTGTTTACATGATTCATTTTCATAGTGACTCCATGCATAGGTCACCAATGGTCATCTTGTGACCAGGATTCTAAGTCCTGTTTTGATTTGTGAGTAAGCAGGAGATAGCCACACTAGCCTTTAGCATCTTCCTAAACTGGTTGAGATTCACAACTCAGGAGTCTTCCAGGGGTTGTTTCTGGTAATTTACAGGATTTGTTCAAATTATTTACACATCCAGTTAGGAATCTTTCAAATACTTTTTCTAAACTTGACATTATCTCCTCTGGGAATTTCAGAAGTCATCACAGTGATCCCAAGAGTTAAGTTAGTATGTATCTATGCCATTAAAACAACAGTTATGGGAGGACTCCTCAAAACTCTTGACCATTGAGGGCCTTCCCGTGTGGTCCAGGGGTTAAGACTTTGCCTTCTAATGCAGGGGGTGTGGGTATGATCCCTGGTCAGGGAGCTGAGATCCCAGATCCCACATGCCTTGCAGCCAAAAAACAGAAACATAAAACAGAAGCAGTATTGAGACAAATTCAATAAAGACTTTAAAAATGGTCCATATCAAAAAAATCTCTAAAAAGAAGTCTTGACCACTGACGTATCAGCATAAATGTGAATTCAAGCTCTGAAACTATTTTGTGGCAGCAGATAAATATATTTTGGGCAGAAGCCTCTCAAGAATATGGTATACATTTGATAGAAATCTAGGTGAAAAAAAAAGCTGGTGGAATGTGGGAGAACTTATTATGTGCAGTGGGTAAAGAAGAAAGGTTCTGAAATTAGGCTTCTATTTATTAGTTATGTCACTTTGAGTAAATGATTTGGCCTTTTCAAAATTCAGTTTCTTCATTGCTAAGATGGGAATACCTCATAGGGTTGTCGTGAGGATTAAATAAGTTATTACGAATGAAACACTTAGAAAAGTGCCTGGTACTCAATAAATGATATCAGAAGAGGTAGCACCAATGTGGAATGTGTATTTTATCCATTTGTTGGCTAACAGGCATACCAATGCTTAATTCAGGAGAAAGCTGAATAGTAGTAGACATTTAGTCTCAGGAACCTTGCACTCCTAAGCAGATATTTCTACTTATACAGACTCCATAAATTCTGATTATGTGACTTTATAATGCACAGATTTAAACTATCATTGAAATCGATTGTCTATTAAGCACCATTATTATATACCTAGGCAATATTGCTCTTGGTACAAAACATCTACTCTTCCACTTAAAAATAAGTAAATAAACAAATGCCAAGGAACATGGCATATCAGGCACATTTATAAACCAAATGTGCCATTCCCCTGTCAGCATATTTTAGTAAGTGACAATAGCTTCCATAAATTACTTATGTGCTGTCTTTGCACATAGAAAGTGAGTCCCTTATCATAAAAGGGCCATCCACATTTTATCATAATTTTATAATACTGTGACTATATATTCAGGGAAAGTAAACAAATTTAACACTCCACAAAACATGCAGAGAAGCTCTTTATGTTTCTGCTGGGTGATGAGGTTAATCGCCAAAGAGGATGACTCAACAAACAACGTGCATTGTGTATATCCTGCCTGTGCCTGAAATCAGAAAAAGTTTGGAGTTTTTTTTATCACTTGAGCTTTGGACCCTGTACTTTCAGAAGCATTTTCAGTACCCAGCTCTCCAGTGCACTCCAGTGCACTCTGAGCAGCACATCAATGAAATGAGCAATCTTCCCTAGCTAGAGGTCACGCTTCACAGGCTTGAGAGTGTCCAGGCATATTCCAGCCAGCAAAGAAATAAAGGCACAACGACTGGAACAGCACAGAGACACAAGTAAGTTTGATTTTCAACTTGGGGGCCTCAGGAAGTGCAATAGCATGACCTTTACAAAGGTAAAAAGTGTAATTCTGCTGCATAACTGAGTAATACTAGAGATCTAGGGAGATAAAATGAGGAAGAATGAGAATGGTCAGAGAAAATGAATAACTTGGTAGCTGCTATTTTTCTGCAGATCTACAAAAGCTTTTCAAGGGTGGAACTGATGAGAAGATGGCAAAAATGATTCAAAGGATAGCTCAAGTAGCCTTTCGTTGAATACAGTATATTTCAAGAAAATCCTGGAACACTTAAGTGATGTCCCAGGCTTTGGACTTACCTACGCACTTACTTACTGACTTACCTGTTCGTGCCCGTAGTATGCTGCAATGTGCAGTGGAGTGAAAAAAACTGCATCTTGTACATTGACATTAGCTCCATGCTGCAGAAGCACATCAGCAGCCTGGATAAGAAAGAGCTGGGTTAGGAGATTCACTGGGGGCATCTGTCCAACAAATTCATTTTACAATTAAAATGTATTAATACAACTCATCTTTAGGAGTCACCATTCTAAAACACAATATTTTTCTATCTCCCTTCTCTGAAATCTTCAATGGCTTGCTTTTGCCTAGAAAATAAAAGCCAAGCTCCTTACTATGGTCCTCTCAATCTGATGGTATCCTTTAAAATGTATTTCCCATGACTCTCTTTCATAAACCCAACTGTACAATCAAACTGCACTTCATTTCCCACTTCTCTGAGTCTTTGTTCACATTATTTCCTCAGTCAGAAGTTCCCTTCTGCCCAATCTCAGATATTTAAACCCAAGCTAAATGCCATCTCCTCCAATATTTCTTTATTTTCCCTCCATTTGTTGCCAGATTATTCACTAAAATTGTCTTCCTTCCTTTTTACATATCACTCAACTTACTTTCATACCATTTAGAACATTTATAAATTTATATACATGCCTTATCACCCTTATTAAAGACCAAATTCTTTAAGGACAAAGTGTATACCAAATTCATCTATATAATCCTACCCTAGCACATTGTCATGAAAATAGTAATCATTCAATAAAAATTTGTTGAATGAATAAGTGATTAAAACAAACAAACAAACAAAAAACTAGCAGGAGCTATGGGTCAACTGCCTTCGTGGAAAGGCACAGACTGCCAACAAATCTGCTGACCCTTTAGATTTATTCTACCAAACAGTCATCTCCAAGCCTCTTTGCTCTAGAAAACTGATTGAAGTCATTTCCTCCAGATGTGTTCTTTTTCACTGTAAAGTTTTCTAATGTTTCTAATGTTTCTCTGTTCTTCAGTTGGTAAAATAATATACATTTGGGGAAATTTTCAAAAGTCTGTTAGGCTTGGAAGAGAGTACATGAAGCTGGGATCAAAGAGCTCAAGGAACATATGTTCCCACACATCTTCTGTTCTTTCTATGCCTTCATCCTAAATCGAGGCCATAAATGGTAACGGGAGAGCCTCTGTCTCACTCCAAAACATAGAAAGATAGGTTCCACTCTCCCATTTTAAAGGTAAAGACACTGAGTCTCAAGGACGCTTTTTAACCTATCTGAGGTCATACATTCAATAAGAAGCAGAACTGGAATTCAAATTTAGGCTTGTTTGAAGTTTCTTTGCATCAGATCCTTCCTGTGACCTTGATGGCGTTAATACTAACCTTTAAGAAAATGAACTAACTGAATCAATCTCAGGTAAAACGAAGCTTTCTCTCAGTAGAAGCTTGTTAGATTCAGCTTTGTAGATTCAGCTTCGAATTGAATGCTTGGAACCATTTTTATCAAATGTCTGCTATCTTAGACTTCACATGCCTGTGAGTTCAATCTTGGGAACGTTTAAAGGAGGTCACATGTGATCAAGGTAAATGGAGCTTTTTACAAATTCTCTTATTTTAAACATAGCATAAAATAAAGTAGACAGCATGAATTTTTATTGTAAAAAGGATTCTCAAATGTTAACATATAGACCCAATTTCTTAGGCATAGTTCCAGAACTTTTCTAATAGATAAGGGCTCTTAGCCCAATGTAATTTTTTCCTAAGTTTGCACTTTTCCAGTTATTCAGAAGGTCAATCTTTTGGCTCAATATTCATTAATTATGAAGTGTTGGCCTTCTGAGAAACTGTCAAAATGTAAGATTTAATGAAACCGCACAGAGTCATTATTGAACTGTAGGTTTTAGTTAGTCTGTTTTAAAATTCAAGAAAATAGTTAACCATTGAAAGCAATGTACACTGGAATTATCTGAATAATTTCACAGGCTATTTATATAAATTTAATGCATCTATTGGTTCTTATGATATTTCAAGTCATGATAGGGAGTATATCTCCTACCAATTTTACAGGGATACAATGTATCATGATACACAAAATGCTTGTCATGTGGTTAAGATAAATGCACTCATATTAATGCTTAGGCTGGAACATATATCTATTAAATAATTTTAACCATGCTTCCCCTAATCTATAACCTGAAAGAGCGGGTAGATCAATTTCACCTCCTTTCCACTGTATGAAGTTCCAAACTGAATCGCTTTTATGCACCACTATGCTAAATATATAATAGGCATCCAGATAATTATTGAAATGGACTGTATTTATAGTTAAAAAATAGGAATATATATCTACTAGTCATAAAGGAATTTAAACATTAACAATTAGGACCCAAATATATGACAAAAATTTTTAAATAGTTCAACACACACATTTATTGATCCTTTACTTTGAATTAACCTTTAGCAAATCCCAAGTGCCTGCTCCATGCCAGGAACTGTCACTGGCATTTTTACACACATTGTCTCATTAAGTTTTCTGCAGGCCATAAAATTCTGTTGTATTAAATACTTTTGAGAAAATACAGTTTTTTTCCCCCCAAAACAATAACAAAACAATTGAAACTGTATACTAGAAAAAAAGTCTTATCACTGAAAGGATGTCTTAATAATCTTTAAGCTCTTTAAAGAAAAGAACTTTATCATACTTAGATTTGTAGAAATGATATATATATATGTATCAGTATATATATATATATCAGTATTATTATTATTAAAGAATCAAGATTCAAATATTCAGTTCAGTTCAGTCACTCAGTCGTGTCCGACTCTTTGCGACCCCATGAATCACAGCACGCCAGGCCTCTCTGTCTGTCACCAGCTCCTGGAGTTTACCCAAACTCATGTCCATTGAGTTGGTGATGCCATCCAGACATCTCATCCTGTCTTCCCCTTCTCCTCCTGTCCTCAATCTTTCTCAGTATCAGGGTCTTTTCAAAGGAATCATCTCTTCGTATCAGGTGGCCAAAGTATTGGAGTTTCAGCTTCAACATCAGTCCTTCCAATGAACACCCAGGACTGATCTCCTTTAGGATGGACTGGTTGGATCTCCTTGCAGTCCAAGGGATGCTCAAGAGTCTTCTCCAATGCCACAGTTCAAAAGCATCAATTCTTCAGCACTCAACTTTCTTTATAGTCCAACTCTCACATCCATACATGACCACTGGAAAAAACATAGCCTTGACTACTACAGACCTTTGTTGGCAAAGTAATGTCTCTGCTTTTTCATATGCTATCTAGTTTGGTCATAACTTTCCTTTCAAAGAGTAAGCGTCTTTTAATTTCATGGCTGCAATCACCATCTTCAGTGATTTCGGAGCCCAAAAAACAAAGTCAGCCACTGTTTCCACTGTTTCCCCATCTATTTCCCATGAAGTGAAGGGATCCCAGATGTCACGATCTTAGTTTTCTGAATGTTGAGCTTTAAGCCAATTTTTTCATTCTCCTCTTTCACTTTCATCAAGAGGCTCTTTAGTTCTTCTTCACTTTCTGCTATAAGGGTGGTGTCATCTGCATATCTGAGGTTATTGACATTTCTCCCGGTAATCTTGATTCCAGCTTGTGCTTATTCCAGTCCAACATTTCTCATGATGTACTCTGCATGTAAGTTAAATAAGCAGGGTGACAATATACAGCCTTGACGTATGAATATCCTTTATTGATGAAAGGAATAAGTACGACAAAGTATCTATCACAAAGTCTTTGTTTTATGAGCACAAAAAATGGATTGGAGCTCTTTGTTTTGATAGAAGGGAACTACTATACATTACACACTAAAAATATTTTCATTTGCTAGTTGACTCCTCAAAATATCCAAGTAGAATCTCTACAATTTCCAGGTTGTAATTTAAATACTTGTTCAAACATTCTGCTCTTTCTTCCTAGAAAGTTTCTGTTTTCTTTCTCTGACTGTAATATACCTAGTCTCAAGGCCAAGCTCAGTTCCCAGGTCCTCTGAGAACCTTTCACAAATACTTTACTGTATTAAACATTTATTTCTCTAAATGTTTATACTATTTATCCTCACAACTTAATCATTTCATTAATTATCAGTGTGTGTAAACCACTATTATACAAAAATTAATTAAACTATTTTTTATCATGTTCTGAACTTGTCCCAATGAAGTGTAGGAAGTTTTGATTCCAGATTAAGAAGAATTTTTCACCTGAGACACTGGGATTTAATCCTTCTAACTAAAAGAGTTATACCTTATCATTTTAAATTACAGAAGTTTAAAAAGTAATGCCTACAAGAGAAAAGTCCTCATTGTTCTTATTTGCTGAATGTTTCTGCTACAGTATGACTTTAACTTATTGACCTGCACCCAATTGGCTTCCCACTCTGAACTTCATCTTATGAAAATCATTGACAGTGATGAAGAAGAAAAAAATGACCACATCAATAGGAGCTAAATGTCTCATGGAAGAGAAAGTAAAGTAAGGTAAATTCTACATGGGATAAAATGGTAATCAATCAGAGCTGAAATTCCCAAAATTAAATATAAGTGTTTTATACTAGTAGACTTTCCAATAAATACCTACACTTTGAAATTTAAGTTTTTCTTTGCTTTATTTAAAATGATATCTCATTTTCTGTGACTTCTTTGGAGTCTCCCTCAAATTCATACTTACACTGATGTTTTCCTTAGGATTTATAGTTTGTTTAAAGCCACAGTTTTCTCTTCTATATTTCTTCATCTAACCTTTACTATTGAGACTTATAGAGAACAGAATCATGAATCTCTTTTGGGATAACACCCACTTTCATTCAGTAGAAAATCTGTATTAACAAAGTTTTAGAAGAAAATGTTTTTGTAAGTTTATGACTCAGGAACTCAAAATGGTCCCCAAATTATTAATATGCAAGTTGATTTAGATTAGAAATTTTTCAATGCTTCCAGTTCTAACTTTCAATGTGTGTGCTCAGTCACTCAGTCATGTCCAATTCTTTGCCACCCCATGGGCTATAGCCTACAAGGTTCTTCTGTCCATGGAATTTTCCAGACAAGAATACTGATTGGGTTGTCATTTCCTCCTCTAGGGGATCTTCCTGACCCGGGGACGGAACCCACATCTCCTGTGTTTAACTTTCAATAACCC